TGCCCTCTATGCCTACCATCCCAAATCTTCCAACAACTCTTCCGAAAATTCCTTTCTTCGCTCCACCACCCTCCAAAAAGTAGACTATGGAGTACGAACAAATCCGTTGCTGCTAAATTAAAGGAAAAGTCACTAGCTTTGATTGATCTAGTCATCTAAAGGGTCCTTGATTATATTGTTTTTACATTAACCTTTCTTAGCACTGTCCTCCGCATATGGGATAGGTTATATGCAATTTTTTTATGTATTACCTTTAGTTTGTGTACTCTTTGTGGTTTGATATGTTTTATTGAAGTTTGTTGTTAATTTGAAGGTTGTTGTTTTAAATCAGAACTGTAGGCATGTAAGATCTCACATCGGTTGGGAAAGGGAACATAGGTCACCTTATAAGCGATTGAATGCCTACTCTATCAGATGTTTTTAAAACTGTGAGTCCAGATGTGGACAAAGCGGACAATATCTGGTATGGTTGGCTTGGGATGTTACAGGGCATACCATGATCCACATCTTTCTTTCATAGTCCAGAGTATGTTGGAGTATTAGAAGTCCAAGCCTCATAATTAGAGGTGAAAAGTGGTACCTCATCTGCTTTGTACATAGATTAGGACCCATCTCATACTTAAATCACAATTAACTTGAGAATTAGAAAGTAGGAAAAAACAATGGAACCATACCATGATCTGCACAAAAGTTTAATGAGTTCTCGAGAGGAATTCTCATGAAATATAGACAGAATCTCTGTTTCTGATTCGGGGAGCAAGAAAAGCATAATTATACTATATAAGTATGTATGTATCTATCTAAAACTTATAAAAATCATATCAAAATAGAAAATTTAGTACAATGTCAAGCTTTCTGGATTACAAGAATTTTAAAAGGTGGATTTAGTGTCAATTATAGCTCCAAAATACTGGTAGGAGGAGGTGATTGTAACCTTGAGGGCAAGTTCAACTGGAAAATAAACTGAATAAAGGCTAGATCACGGCCCTTCTCTATAGGTCGCTGGTTCGAGCCTCCTCAGATACAATGGGAATTTTCGTGGTTGATATCTTCATGGTCCCATGCGATTAGTCGAGATGCATGCAAGCTGGTCCAGACACCCACGGTTACCAATAAAAAAGGTGATTGTCATGGGTTTTTGTCTTGCATATAATATATAAAGCATAGGTCATTAATCATCATAAGATGGGAGGAGCAAGTTGTATAGAACTTTCTCACAGAAGATGGACCAAAGACGATACAAGTTGTGTTTTTAACTCATTGCCTATCCTGGGTACATGAGTTATATGAAGAAAAGAGGAAACATAAAAAGGTAAAAATAAAGATAAAATTACATAAGAAGTTGTCTTCAGGAACATTGCTGCATTATGCCACTTTTGGCTGATAACCAAGTCTGATATCTGATGACATTGTTATTTTACAGTTTCATGTGGACTAAAGAAATGGATGCTATGCTCCATGATCAAACAAAACTAAACATATAGCTTTGAAGGATTGTGATGTATGCAGACTTTTCCCTCTCCCCCAAAGGGTACGTGAATACTTTCCATATAGACCCCGACTTGCAAAAAGAAGTCTGAAGAAACAAATTTTGGCCAACCAGGTAAGATGTTCCGTGATCATATAACACTATAAGTTAACCACTTGGGTTGTGGCGCTCTGCTTAAGGCTCACAGAGATGTAGTGGAAATCTCATATTCATCAGGTTCGAATCCAAGCGCTAACAAAGCCATATGGCCATGGAGGTTAACCTGCAATGACTCCAAGTCATTCGTGGTTTCCGGGGGATTAGTCGGTGCGTGTAAATTGGCCCATGTACTGATATACCCTCTGTTACCCAAAAAAACAGGAAGTGTGCTAACTACATGCATCTCACTTTTTCAAATAATGTCATATAAAAAGGCTAATAGGACGCTTTATTTCAAAAGTATCCTATAATACTTGTTAAAAGCGGTATATCAAGTTATTGCAACACTTCTTATAGGACGTATAATTGTCTGGTCCTATTATGACATTTAGACGTATTTGAGGTACCAGAACAATATTGTTGCAGTGAAGAAAATCAACAAGTGCAGAAGTTGTTCAACAACTCCAAACCTAGAAAACCTATCATATTTTTATGCCAGGTGTCACTTTTATTCTGCATTTACTTATCTACTAGACTATATCTTCCTCTTCTACTTGCCAAGACTTTAGGTTGATAAACTGCTTACAACCATCAGGATTTGCAGCCTCTGATTCCAACCAACCAATTAAAAAGTCATAACACAGCCTGTGAATTGTATATATACTATGCTTTGAATTATAATCTCTCATATATTTTCTTTACATCTTCTTAAATCTTTGGTGCATTCACATCTTGCCATGGCTTCAACCAGCTACATTTACGTTCTCGTTTTTGCAGTATTCTTCTTTATGAATAATGACGTGTGTTATGCTTCGCGTAATCTGTTGCAGGCAAATCCAACGGTGCCACAACCACAGATACCCACCATCCCGACACTCCCACAGCCACAACCACAACCACAACTACAGATACCCACCATCCCAACACTTCTACAGCCACAGATGCCCACCATCCCAATGATACCAACCATCCCTACACTCCCTAATATGCCCAAAGTTTCCTTGCCTCCATTACCTTCTATGCCTACAATTCCAAACTTTCCAACAAATCTTCCCAATTTTCCTTTCTTTGCTCCACCACCTTCAAAGAAATAGAGTACAGAAAACCCACTGAAGCTAAATCGGAGAAGAAAAGCCTTGTTACATACATGTATATAGGTGTACTTTATTTTACGAAAACACAAAAACACTCTTATCAAATGTGATAATACATGTAAGAGGACTTGGTGACGTGCGGGCGACTTAGCCCCCCAAAGGTCGTCCACATCTCTTATTTAGTATCACATGTGAAGGACTATAGTAAATGGGCGTTCTTGTTTTCGTAAAATGAAAGACATTCTCGTTTATATATATATATATATATATATATATATATATATATATATATAGGGGGCTAATCAAACGAGAACTGATTAGTTTGTGGTAACTGTGAGGTCCAATCTCAACCACAAATCAATGGATAAATTAGGAAATTAATAATTATGGTAGTTTGAGTTAAAATTATAATTAGAGGGCATATTAGGTATTTTTTTAAAACTCTTCTCTTCTCTCTCATCTCTCTGACCTCCAATCTCCGGTGAAATTGGTATCACAGTATATCACAACGGGTATCACATTGTGTATATTTGTATTTAAGGTTTGAGTTGGTATCATAGTTGGTATCACAGCATATCACAATGGGTATCTTTGTGATTACTTGGTACCTACCGGATTAATGTTCACCGGAGGCCGGAGATTGGAGGTCGGAGAGATGAGTTTTTTAAAAATACCTAAAATGCCCTCTAATTATAATTTCATAATTAATAATTTACTAATTTATCCATTGATTTGTGGTTGATATTGGATCTCACAGTTACCACAAACTAATCAGTTCTTCCTTGAATGGACCCCTATTGTTTTTACATTTATGTTTTTTCTTAATGAGTGGGTTACAACATATGGGATCTGTAGATAGGTTTCATATGATCTTTGTGTTTTTTTTATTGCATATTGTTCTTAATTTGTTGGCTTTTGTATGGTCTGATTCTAATATACTCTTGTTGTAGTATACTGTTAATTTTAAGTTGCAATATTTGGTTATTTTTGGTGAGGTAAGTCAGGAGATGAAAGTTCATAAAAAAATTAAAGTGAAAGCTAAAGAACTACAGTAAATTGCATTAAAATAAAACTTTTTTATTTCTCAGGTCATATTTTTATTTTTTTTAATTAACCTGGATATTCAACTCAACACCCGCTATGTGAGCCGACTAACTATCTGTTTTGTGGGTAGTCCGGAGTTACCGCATGTAAACATCCGTAGCCACAAGGGAATTTTTTTTACTCCTTGTATTTGAACCTGAACCTTATTCATATTTTCACATATCTACCATCTATTAAAAGCATGTATTGTTAATTTGTTACTTTGTGAAAGAAAAATGCAATATATTATTTTTTTTAAAATAAGAAAAATCTTTTAAAAAAAATTATTGAAAACTTTTTATTTGTAATATTTCGTACGTAAACATCGAAATCGAGCATTCGATAAATGGAACCAACAGACAACCTCATTACTCTTGCCCCATCAAATATTAATTGCAAAATATTTATAGAAAATCATAAATGGTAAATAAGAAAGTTGTTAAAAAAAATGACATGAAAAAGTAACATACTTTAATTTGATCCTTATGTTTTTAGGATTTCAATTAAACCATAGAATTTCAAATCCGAACAATCCAACAAACCAAATATGAGATTTAAATAGATTTAAAATTCAAATCCTCCTAATTCCATTTTATTCCTGCAAACCAGACAGGGACTTATTTTTATCACCACTGTTGTTAGCCAACTCCCCAACCTAAAAAACCCAATCGTGCTTGGTGACATATAGAAGTTCCAACCACACAAGAGTCCTAAGCAGATAACTGTTGAAAGCATCTAAATAGTAAGCTCACCTCAAGATAAGTGCTGTTAACTATATCCATCTTATTTGTGAATTTGTTATTTATTCATTTTAAATATTTTTGCACTCGAAAACATTTTATATACATAAATATTATGTTACACACATTGTCCTTCACGAGAATATTGAGTTTATTTGATGATAGGCACAAGAATGAGATCTATCCCGATGGAAAGCCCGGTGTACTTGTTTTAACGGAGCCAGAGATTCCCTGGGATCGGGGATGGGGACGAAACCGGGTAACATGATAACCCGACCCGTCTCGTCCCCACAAATTAAATATATTATATATTTATTACTAAATAGATTGTATATCTATTATTAAGTATATTTTATATATATATATATATATATATATATATAGAGAGAGAGAGAGAGAGAGAGAGAGGAACGATCAAATGAAAGCCACCCTCATTTGTAAAAACCGTACAAACCACCCTCATACGTCGATTTCATTGTTTAATCTTATGGAATTTTTTTCATGAAATTGTTTAATCATGTGAAATTGTTTCATATAATACTTTTTTATGAATTTGTTTCGTATATGTTTATGAAATTGTTTCATATAATATTTAATAAAATTGTTTCAAGTATTTCTCTAAAATTAAAATAATGAAGATGATAATATCCATGATTAACACTCTCCACAATAAAAATGGTTAATCAACCTCTTATAATTACAGAAAAATGAACAAAATGAAAATTTATGATTGGTTGAATGATGTTTTTACGGTTTTTACAAATTGAGTGGTTTTTATTTTAACGTTCCCCTACATATATATATATATATATATATATATATATATATATATATATATATATATATATATAGACTTGGGACATGTGAGACCAATGATTTTTCGTGAGACCTGTAAGACCAATTCTCAACCCTTGGATTAAATCTACAATCGTCAGATCTGAACATTCATAAATGCCACGAGACTTCTCAATAATTACAAAACTGTCACCATACAACTTTACACCATTAGATCATTAGCTTATAAAGTTGATCAATGAACATAAATTGGTCTTATGGGTCTCACCAAAAACTTTTGGTCTCACGTGAACCCAACCCTATACCGTATGATATGATGATTTTGTTTACATATGAATATTATATACTCCATGAAAACAATTTTCTAAAAATATGTGAGATTTAAATATGAACCATTATCGATCGAGTAACGTTTTTAACACATTTGATTTAAAATATCTCACATAAACATGGAAAAAAAATCCTGATTCCGGTTGGGGATGGGGATGGGATCATATTCCCCAACAGGGACGGGGATTGAGATTAGGATCAAGGACAGGGACGGAGGTTGGGGTCATCGCCCCATTGTCATGCCCATTTATACCTATAATTAAAAACGGGTTGTTTACCAAATTGCAAAAATCCTAACCGTGGCTTCTGCCAGCTATATTTGTGTACTTATTGTTGCAGTGATCATTAACACAAGCAATGAAACGTGTAGCATTTCGTGCAATCTATTGCAAGCAACTCCTAGGGTTTCACAACCACAAACACCCATGATTTCCATGTTACCACAACTGTAAATGCGCACACTTTCAACCCCTACCACAACCACTGATGCACACCATGACGATAATGCCAACCATCCCTACATTTCTAACCCTGTCCAAAGTCTCCTTGCCTCAACTTCCTTCTATGTCTACCATCCTAAACATTCCCACAACTTTCCTCAAATATCTTTCATCGAAAGTTATTAACAAAACTATTACAGCACATGATACGGTAGCTATATACAACGGTTTATGCTAACATGATACACGGAACTGGGATCTTTGTCAAATGCAAATCTTTCTATCGGGAAAGCCTCGCTTCTTCAAGTCAAAAGACTGATTTTTTCTCATAAGATAAGTAAGAAAGTGTTGGTGTGATCAACAAGATGATAACGAGTATATAAATAAATAAAGACAAAAAAGGAAGAAGAGGCAAGATAAATTGAATATTTCTGCTTTTTTCTTACCTTTTTCATACCCTAAAAACCGACATTAGAAGTCAAACCCGAGCCCTTTATACCTCATTCGCCCCCACCCACCCATAACATTCCGTTTTTCGCTCTACTCATTATTCTTCCGCCTCATCGATCAACCCTTTCTCAAAATCGACTCGTACATAGCACTACATGGGGTTTTTGACCTCCAAACAGGTCAGGGGTTCAAACCTCACCAAAGATGTGAGTATGTAATTTTCTTTATTCTATTTGTCGTATATAAATATTATATACTTAAAAAAAATCAAGCATTATATATCATTACATCTCCAGTAATATGCATTTTATATGATATCCAGTTAGAAAAGTAAACACCTTGTGGCTGTAGTTTAGTGGTAAGAATTCCACGTTGTGGCCGTGGAGACCTGGGCTCGAATCCCAGCAGCCACATTTTTAATTTTCTTTTATTTTTTGGGCCGAATTTCCATTAGTTTTTTGGGCTGAGGCCCAATTAAAGCCCATTATAAAAGTGATATGATATGATCCAGTTATCTTCAAAACCCTAAACCTTTGCTATATAATGGCGTCGCCTTCACCTTCACCTTCACCTTCACCTTCACCCATCATTGTGCTTGCAGCTGTTCTATCCAGTAAAGTTACATGGTCTGGGCTCTACGTAACATGCTCTTCGATTACCACTGCGGTTTTTGTTGCTGCTAGTTGCAATCCCAGTTGATTCGTGAGCTTTCTCTGTTGTTATTATATGTTGCTGTTTATTTTTCCCAATTGATGTAGTTTTTATCTGAATATGATGAGAAATCGTTGTCGCCCCAGTCTTATGAGCTTCGTATTAATACGTTGTTCGGTGGTGATAGACACATTCATAATCTGATTCGTAATGTTTTACAGCTTTTGAATCATTTCTCAAATTTGCTCGTTTTACTTTTGGATTCTAGTAGTTTGTAGTGAATCTGATATGCGAATTTGATAAATACTTGCTAATTTTACGATTTAGTGGCTTTTTAACTGTTTTTCGAGTTTGCCTTCCAACATTAGCCTTTTTACATCTGGAAATGATGAGAGTTATTGTCGCCCCAGTCTTATGAGCTTTGTATAATTGCATAGTTCGATGGTGATGGACATATTCATAATCTGATTCATGAATACTGAATGAATTAATGTCGTTGCTTTCCAAAATTTTAGGTTTTAGTAATGTTTTTTGAGTTTGGAGGTGATCTGGTTTTGAAATTGAATGGCGCGATGGTTTATTTACTGCTATATAACATTGATTTTATGTACTGCGATTTAATTTTTCTACTTTATGTAGTTTTTATCCGAATATGATGAGAATCATTGTCGCCCCAGTCTTATGAGCTTCGTGTCAATACGTTGTTCGGTGGTGATAGACACATTCATTGTCTGATTCGTTATGTTTTACAGATTTTGATTCATTTATCAAATTTGCTGGGTTTACTTTTCAATTGTAGTAATTTGGAGAAAATCTGATATTCGAATTAGATACTTCGTCGCTAATTTCTACGATTTGCTGGATCTTACTATCTTGGTATTTTCTAACTTGCTTTCTAAAACCTTTGTGTTTTGTAAATTTTATGGAATTTGGAGATGATCTGGTTTGCAAATTGATTGGCGTGATGATTTATTTACCCATTTTTGTCTGCACTATGGAATGATGATCTATAATACATGCACTACCATCTGATCTCTCTCATGCAATCGATCATCTCTAATCATTACGTTTGCAAATCTGTATTTAAATCCCATCTGATTTTTACTTGTTATCCTCTTAAAAAACATTGTTACTGCAATCAATGATGCAAAATCATGATTTAAACTGATGTTTTTCTGTGATTAACACAAATTATCACCATCTTTCGGCTGAGATTGCTCAATATTTTGTAGTTGGTTCATTTTAATCCTTGATGTAAATGTAAATGTAAATGCCCATGGTATCTAATGCCTTGACCTAATTAATGTTGATGGCATCTCGTTTAACGGGCAAATAGTGACGAAAACAGGCCTTGCGACACAGTGGCTTCTACCATCAAATGCTAACTGTTACTTTTATTCCTGTTCACATTTTTGTAGGTATTTTGATTTGCACATTTGAATCCCTGTTACCATTTTGTTGGATTTGTTGTCTCTTTTTAGGTTTGTCTGTAAAATGATGAGAGGTATTGTCGCCCCAGTCTAATGAGCTTCAAAGCTCGATGGTGATGGACACATTCAAAATTTGATTCATGGCTACTATATAAAATTACTGAATTTAATAGAAATAGCCATCTTTAGGGACCCAATTCGTTTGTTAGTCATTTCCCCCTAGAATTTTAAAAGATGCGACTATCACAGTAAAGTGGCACCTATGTGACTTGCCGATAAGCTATTTACATCCACTTGTAGAGGTGTGATATGTGGACATCGGTGAAAAATGTTTCTCGTCAAGTCATTCGGTGTCACTTGCCGGGTAGTGATATTTTTGGAATCTCTAGAAAGAAATGGCCGAGATATGAATTTGGTGTCTGAAAATGGCTATTTTGCTTAATTTCCTGTAAAATTAAGGAATGTGTTTTTAGTTATGTTTCTGAATACTTACCTGGTTTGTTCATTAGTTATGTCTTAAAGAATCATATAGTTGCTGCAATCAATGATGCAAATCGTAATTTTAACTGATGTTTTTCTGTGATTAACACAAATTATCACCATCTTTCGGCTGAGATTGCAAATCTATAAATGTTGTTTCTAGTTGACGTTAAAGGCATCTCGTCTAGTATACTGAAATGGAGACTTATCATCAAGTTCAATTAGGAAGTTCTTATACCCAAATTGTTTAGAACATTTCTAAGAGTTAAATGCCTGCAATGAGCCAAAGAGGGAGAAAGAAGTGAGCAAGGGGCTGCTTACCATGAGTGCGACATTTTTAGCTATCATGGTAACCGTTTATTACCTGGTAATTGCTTACCAATAAGATTCATCACTTCATGTACTGGGTTCTTAGATTCATTACTCTCATTTACTGGGCAAGACACTCTGTCTTTGGCTTTTTTTTGACTTGGAAAGATCCTTGATTCTTATTATGTTTATTTGCTAAGGTAATTGAATTGGTAAGTGTTTGCCAAGGTGAACTTTACAGCCCTTTAATGGGGTGGTTTGAACTTCGAAGGTTGGTGCTGATTGGTTTCCATTTTAGAGAGATGGACTTGCTGTTCTACCTTCCTTTTACCCTACATCTAAGCCTGATATGATAATTACTTGTGTTTTGGGTTAGTTTGTATTCTATGAAGAATCTTTTAGGTTGGTGGATGATCTTCATCTTGAATATGAACAAATCACAAAACCGAAATAAAAAGGAATCCATATCCCAAATTCAAACTCTTTAGCTTGTGTATGAACATGTATGTGATTAGAGCTCAGATCCGAACATGACGCAGGCAGTCAAGGAAAGAATCTTCAACAAGATCGACGACCTTCACAACATCATCATCATCAAATTGATATCAAAAGTTCTGAACTTTGTTATTTTTAGAGGGTGTTTTGTTCTATTAAGAGATAATGTTAAGAGTTGAATCTCATAGAAAAGGTCTGTTTTTTAATGTTTCTAAATCCATTTGAATGATTTTGTGTTATAGTTCATCTTTAACCATTCAGGGTCATAGTTTCACTATAAACAACTATCAAACAATTGTAATTTATTTTGAATTATATTATTTTGATTGCTTAATCATTCTATATCAAACCATTTAACCATCTATATCAAACCATTTAACCATGATGTAGTCTTGGAGCTGAGCTAGGATGGACCTTGAATTTTTGGCAAAAGCATAACCACTCATAGTCTCAAATTGGTCTCGATCCCAAGCTGGACGAGACCATTTTGGCCATCTCTACTTACAACTAGGGCTGCATGAGCTGCGTTGAACGCTTTTGAACAATTTAACTCAACCCAAACCATGTGGTGTAGTTGGGCTGGTTGGGTTGATGTTATTTTATAATCTTACTAAACGTTTTATTTAAATGAAGTAAAATCAAAATCAGAACATACAAAAAAGTTTAACTCAAAGTTATAAGTTAATGCAAATAAAAAAGTAAAATTACGGTTGAAATTGTAATATAATTTTGAATATAACTAATTATGGACGGTCCAATGTACATATATTAATCAAAGATTTAACAGTTGTATTAAACCTGTAGTATACAAAGACACCGGGTTTAAATGATCCCAACCCATTTCCAACCCAACAATGCATTGTTCGTAGAGAGACGTAGAGTGTTGCATCTATTTGAAGGATTACTTTTATAGTGTTGATAGAATTCAACATACGATATCATTAGAGGTAGAGATTGAAGCGGTTAAAGAAAATTTGGACGTAAATGAAATCGTTATGGGATTAAACACACCGCCAACTACCGATACCGATGACAATTACTCACAATATGACGATGATGAGAAACTCAATATTGATGACATTGATGACCAAGAAACTATTAGAATAATTCAAAAGACCAAAACTCTTCAAATCAATCCGACATGAGATACTGATAAATACATGTATTTTCAAATAACTTTATAATGTATTTTTGGGAGACAATGTAATTTTAATTATAATAAAACGTATTTTTAAAGTGTATTTGAGTGACCAAATTACAAATTTTATAATGTATTTAAAAAATGTATCATTAAAAAAAATTAATGGTCGGGACTGAGACCGACCAATCGTAACCAGTTATATATAACCTTAACCGGCTCAACATTTTTGACCGACCACTTACGGCCGACACTGTTGTGGCCCGGGACCGGTAAGACCCGGCCCGACTTGGGACCGGTTTTTGGTCATCACTAACTTGACCTAACTTTGTATTAATCATGTGTTGGGCTACCTCGGATTGAGGTTTTATGGATTTTCTCGGGTTGGGTTTGATTAGAAAGCGGTTTTTTTGAACTCCCTGGCCTGGTCACAACTTACAACGACTGTAGGTAAAAATTAGCGGGCCTAATATTTTTGGTGCATGGGCTTACATTCTCTATGGACCTAATCATGGGCTCTTTCACCCACTATTTCCTCACAAACTGATAGGGCCCAACTTCCATAACCCCCTTTTCCGCCATCGCTGTACCTTCTTTCCTCCTACGTTTTCGCATTTTTGGCCATATTTCCTTTCTCAAAAAATTTCAAATTATATCTCACACTCTTAAACCACCATGGAGATGGTGTTTTGTTCAAAACCCCATTGCTTTCATTCCCAACTACAACGATATCAGCAACAACACATAGTTTCACCTCTTTCTTCCTTTCAATACAAAACCCTTACGTTTACCCCTTCCACAATTCTATTTGCCGCCAAAAAAACAAGGGTTATTTCCCATCTTGATTCCAGAGTCAATGGTGCTCTTTCATCTGACCCTGATTCAAGTTTTCTGGACAGGGTATGTTCTTAATCCTTTTTCTCTTGATGATTAACTTCATTATATGTTTATGTTGACGTAATTGGGATGCTAATTTGACTACTTAGATTGTGAATTTTTGAGTATCTTTTAGTTTATTCACTGCTTAGGTTTACTGACCCACTTGAAGAATCCTGTTAATGTTGGCGATTTTGGACAAGAGATGTGTAATCAATTTAACCAGTTATAGTTCTCCTTCAATTCTCTGATAATTATCTGCAATTTAGTGTAGTTATTGGTATTTTTTTCTCCATTATCAAATAAATTTATATGGGATTCCTTGAATCACTTGCAGAGATGGACCCAGAAAAATTTCCAACCGATGGCATCGTTTGACTATAATAAACAAATATAGGGATATTTTTCACAAAATTATCATTGGTCTGTTGGTTAGTTTAATGCTTTTCACATGTGAGGTCCTATGTTCAAGTGTTTTATTGCAATTTTCTTTTCAGAAACATAAGAAATCTGAAATGAAAAGCTAAAAACTAAGAAAATAACACTAACAGAATTTGAACTTAGGTTTAAGGTGGAAGAAAAGTCTTGCAAACCAACTCTACCAAGAAAAACTTTTGTTCTTATTGTAGTTTCAGAATATATACGGTGGCACTTTTCATGACTTCATATGTTTACACTATGACGGAGGAAGGAAAGGGTGACACGTGCCACCACAAAACCCCCTGGGTCCGTCCCTGATCACTTGAGAATGAATGGGTTACCTCGAATGGAATGATGATGGTGGTACTGAATTACATCAAGATCCATAATAATACTACATCTCACTATACAGAACTCATTAGATTACTCTAGTAGAAATGTTCAAGGCTAGTTGATGTGGGACTCCAATATGCTCCTTCAACGGAGGCTAGATGGGCCAGATTGTCGAGTTCTTTAGGTTGACCTTTGCTGTGATACCATGTGCGGATATATGTCGAGTTCTTTAGGTTGACCTTTGTTGTGATGCCATGTGCGGATATATGCCAAGTTCTTTAGGTTTGACAGACCTTGATTGGGGATACCATGTGAGGATATATATCGAGTTCTTTATGTAGACCTTGACTGTGATACCATGTGAGGTTATATGTCGAGTTCTTTAGGTTAGGTAGACCTTGGTTGTGATACCATGTGAAGATATATGATTAGGTAGTACTTGGCCGTGATACCATGTCAGGGATATATGCCGAGTTCTTTAGGTAGACCTTGGTTGTGATACAATGTGGGAGATATGTGTTAAGAGTTCTTTAGGTAGACGGACGGGTGTAAACGAGTCGAGTCGAGTAGTAGGTTATTCTAGCCGGGCTCAAAAAATTAATACTAGGCTCCAACTCGATTAAATTTTCAATCTCGAGCTTGAATATTTTTTGAGTTATCGAGCTTGAGCTCGATGTTTGTTTATGGGTTCGAACTCGGGATTGATTAACTCGTTTATCAACTTGAGCTCGATAACATATATATTTTTTATTGTATGATTAATAAATATATGAGCATGTTTTGCTCCATAAAGAGTATGCTTGAATGGCTCGTCTTGACTCAAAAAATTGAATCGAGTTTCCAAACGAGCCGAATCAAACATTAGTGTTATAGAGCTCAACTCATTAAGTTAAACGAGTTCTATTGTTTGTTCGAGATAGACTCGAGCTCGAGTAGACTAGCTCGTTAAAAGCTCGAATTGTTTACACTCCTTGGATGTGATACATGTGAGGGATATGTGTCAGAGTTCTTTAGGTTGTGACACCATATGAGGACATTTGTCGAGTTCTTTAGGTAGACTTTGGGCGTGGTACCATGTGAGGATATGTAGAACCCTATGGCTCTACTTCCCAAAGAGCCCTAGAGGAGAGAAGAGAGGTTCCAAGTTTTATTGGGAAGAAACTGTTCAAGTTTAGTTGACGTGTGACTCCAACAAATCTGAAATGTACTCATAAAATTGTTTGAGGCGTATGCCTCAGGGTGAGGCGGCCCAAAAGAGGCGTTGTCGAGGTGTACGCCTCAAATGATCTGCTTTGGTAATGTTTTTTTTTTTGGCTTTTTTATAAGACTTATGGCAGTACTAGTACTTCTCTTTATAGTGTGTTTTTTCTTTAATTAAAAAAAACTCAACGTCAAAGTCCAATGGCCCCAACGTGTACTTTAAGTAATATAATACGCAAAAAGCTAGTATTTGCTTCTGTCAATCAAAAAGTGTGGTTTGACCCTTCCTCTTTCTCCAAGCAACCAATTTTTCCACACCCTCTTAGTAAGAACCCCTGAACCAACGCCTTTATAGATTGTATATAAATGTATATTTGGGTAGTATATATATTTCCGCCTCAGACCGCGTCGAGGTCCTATTCTTCCTCTTAAAATTTTGAATGTACTTCAAAAAAATGGAGGGATGGTCTTCTATGTAACATGTGTGCTTTTTAGTTGAACTCAGACACTTATTGTGTAGTTGGCTTCTAAGCTCTAATGGTTGTAGAGATGCATACAATACCTAAAATTATTCTTGATGGCCCATCAATTTACGACAAATCCTGTTCATATGCCTGGTTAATGAGTATTTTGGCTCTATATCGAAATCTTTTGGATGAGTTGATAGTGGGCAGGTGATATTAATCTCGTCCATATAGCAATCAAGGCAAGAATTTTCAGAAGCTAAAGAAAACTAATTCATGTAGGACTCTTGATTTTTCACTTCTTCTCATGGCGCGTCTTTACGTATCATTATGTCTCTATATCCAGTTGATGTTTGCTGTCAAGTCATTAGATATGTAAACATATTAATAAAGCAAAATGTGTTGCTAGTGTTAATAAAGTACTATTAACATAAAACTTCTACTTTTTCAAATGGATTTCTTCACAAAAGCATTCCATATTCTGCAAAGTTGCTGATGGAAGCAGCCTTTACATACGACGCCTTACAAGCCTTTTTTTTCATTAAATAGCTTACAAATTGCGTTGTGTCTTACTGATGCGTCTTTTTCAAGCCTACATACATGAAGAATTACTCAAACTCATCATGTTGCCATTGCAGCAAAAAGCACTGGAAGCTGCAATGAATGATATTAACAATTCATTCGGGAAAGGAAGTGTGACAAGGCTCGGAAGTCTTGGTGGAGCTCTTGTGTACGTTTGATTTCTTCTTGCAATCTCACAATTTCACACACACATATGTGGTTATAGGGTTGGGGTTGCTTTTTAATAACGTGATGCCATTAGCGCAAAAATATATGCTCACTTACTATTCCTTCGAAAAATTATGGCAAAATTAATCTTTCATTGGGTCCCCAAGAGAGCACGCGCTCTTCTGCTTTAGCACAATACAACAAGTAAAAATGGGTGCATGTGCGTGCATGCTAAAAGAACACCATGCACTCTTAAGGTCTGTTTGGTTGGTTATCCATCAAGTCCTGTATGGATAAAGATGTCATTGTGCATTAATCTGTCTGTATTTATTGGAAAGGTTTTTGTTTGGGAGGGTTTTTTATAGATGGAATGAGCATGTTTTTTTATTTGGGAGGGACGGGTTTGGAAAAAACTTGGCTTTCTGCATAAAGCTCCACCCTAGAAGCTTACTGAATAAGCCACTTTCAATATCATTAAGCCACTAATAACAATCATGTATAGTTGACCAAATAAGCAGTGAGTCCCATTAAGCTGCTAACAGACAGGCTCTTAATCTCATATGGTCAACTCTAGTCAGAATGGATCACTTTATGCACCACCTTTTACCTCTTGCAGGGAAACATTCCCAAGTGGCTGTCTCTCCTTAGACCTTGCGTTAGGTGGGGGCCTGCCAAAAGGGAGAATCGTGGAGGTATTGACTTCTGCTTCTACTTTTTACTGATTTTAATCATGTAATTTTCATGTGATGTGGAGGAACTGATTCTGCCCACTTAACCGTGTGAAGGTTTTGCCAAGAAAAATACTTTTGTTAGCAGCTATATTTCAAATTTGCTTCTGTTTGATGAACTTTGCTTAGCCGCGATAGGAAGAAAATGAACAAGCAAAATATGTCTTCACGAAAATGAACAAGCCACTGCCAAACAGTTGGCGTACTATAAAGCCGATTTTGTTGCTGTGAAGAAAATCTAGAAGTCCAGAAGTTGTTCAACAACTTTAAACCTAGAAAACCCATTGTATTTTTATGCCAGGTGTCACTTTTGTTCTGCATTTGCTTATCTACTAGATTATCTTCCTTTTGTACTTGCCAATACTTAGGTTGATAAACTGCTCACAACCATCGTAAGTTGCGGCCTCTGATTTCAAGTTCCCAACCAACCAAATAAAAGTCATAATACAGGCTTGGGACTTTATATATTATTATTATTAGAATCATAATCCTCTCGGACACTATCTCTATATATTTCTAATTCTTGGTGCATTCTCCTTCACAGTTGATCAAATTCATTTGTTTCTACCTCTCAAATACTCGTCTCTTAGTTAATCACAACAAGAACCATGGGTTCTGCCACCTACATTTACGTTCTCTTCTTTGCAGTATTCTCCCTTATGAATAATAAGGTGTGTTATGCTTCACGTAACTTGTTGCAGGCAAATCCAACACTGCCACAGCCACAAATACCCACCATACCAACACTCCCACAACCACAGATACCCACCATCCCGACACTCCCACAACCACAGATACCCACTATCCCGACGCTCCTACAGCCACAGATACCCACCATCCCGATGATGCCAACCATCCCCACACTCACTAACATGCCCAAAGTTTCCTTGCCTCCATTACCTTCTATGCCTACATTCCCAAACCTTCCAACAAATCTTCCAAAAATTCCATTCTTTGCTCCACCACCTTCCAAAAAATAGAGTACAAAAACCATTGATTCTAGATTCCTAGATCAAAGAAGGAATATCATAGATATATGCGCATTGTCTATAGCTCAAGAACTTTGGTTGATCTAGCTGTTAGAAGGGTCTTTGGTCCTATTGTTTTTACATTTATGTTTTTCTTAATGAGTGGTTTACAACATGTGGGATTGGTCGATAGGTTGCATGATCTAGCAGGTTTTTTTCACATATTGTTCTTTTCTTTCTTGACTCTTTGTATGGCCTGATATACTTTGTTGTAATATATTGTTAATTTTAAGGTGCAAAATTTGATTATTTTGAGATTAGAAATGTAGGCATGGTTTGATCAACATCATCTCTTTCATACTATGAGTAGGTGAAGTGTTGAAAGGAATCTATGAGTTTTTAAATCTCATAGTTAGAGGCAAAATATGGTACCCATTAAACTTTCTCAATGGTTTAGGACCCATTTTAATACCTAAGACAGTTTATCGGAGGGTCTACCCCTTGTTTAACCCCATATAGGTTGATTCAGGGATGCAAATTTTCGGTGAGGTGTGCATGGGGTGCGGCATTGACAGTATCCAGAATGGTGGACCATGAATATAAGTTATACGGGATTGGGGATATGAGGGGAATGTTTATTTCTTTCCTTAATGTGGATATTAGAGTTCATAATTTGTAAAATTAATGTGAAAGCTAAAAACAACGACTAATTGAATCAAAATGGAGCGTACTTTCTTTTAGTGTCTATGGGAATCTACTTTCTAAAGCATCATTTTAGGGAGCGAACTATGTCTCGATTCAATTAAGAGAACATGCTATGTTTTTAATGCAATTGAGGAAAAATACTCTAAATTTGTGAAAAAAGAATATATTACTCCCTCCGTCCTAAATTAAGTGTCCACGTTCAAAAGTAAGTTTCTAATTTCACATTTTACCCTCAATTATGAGATGGAGAAAGTTTCTTCCTCTATTATCAAGGGTAAAAGTGTCATTTAGTTATTTAAAATGTGTACTAATTACACATTCCTAAAACCGTGTGCCATTTTCATTATGGACATTTATTTTGGGACGAAGGGAGTATAACTTTGTAAACAAAAAAAGTTTTAAATAAAAATTATTTATCCTTTTTGTTTTAGATGTCTTGTTGTAGACGCCAAAATGGAGTGTTTGGAAGTAGGTCCCCAAAACAAGAACAAGGGTAAAGTAGGCTTTATTTAGATGCAGTTTGCCCCGACAACTCATGCTTGCGAGAGAATGAATGGAAACAAAATGATGCAATGAGCTATTTTTCCACGATAACTTGTACTAATTTGAGGACACGAAGATAAAGTAAAAGCAAGATAAGGTTTAAATGTAATGCATATAAATAATTTTATATATTTAATGTCTATATATTGCTCGTGAGCCGCCAGGTACCAGTCTCGCAACAGTATTGGTGGCGCAAAAACACGAGTTAAGAGATGACCTCGTTTTTTCTTGCCAATTTGATTCTAGATTTGTATATGTATAGGGACATGTACATATAAACACATCCTGGTATCCTGATATCTTGAATTGTTTAAAATCACCGATTTCGGGTATCCACGTGTACCATATTAAAATTCTATTGAAAGGTGATCTTGCCACACAAACATTTGAGTTCAATGCAAGAACTCCCATCAAATTTCCTGATTTACCTAGGGACCACGAACTGCTATTATGCCCTGAGCACAAATGCTGACATCTTCTTTCTTGTTAGAAGAAGCCCGACCCTTGTGGAATGTTCAAAGACCTCAAATTTGTTGCATTTCATGTCTACTTGTGAGGGGTTTTCATATTAAAATTCTGCTCAATCAAATGTGGTAACTAAGTGAGTTTAATCACCATGGCAACGAATTGAAGAACACACTAGAGTCGATGCTTACCAGTTTCCAAACATATCGTATCTAACACAGCAAGATCAATAAACAATGCCCTTGAGTTTGGAGGTTGTTTAGCAAATCCACACCTAGAAATCCAACTGGTTTATTATTTTTTGTCTTAGAAATGCTGGTAGACTAACCACAACCATCAAGACTTGCCACATATATAGTTCACTACCAACCAATCTAAAGTCTTAACAAAACCCATGACTTTTTCTTTATATCTCTGCAATATATATACTTGGTCTTTTGTGCATTCTCATTCACAATTTAATCAAGTTCATTAGCCTCTCCCTCTCAGAAACTCTTGACCCTTCTTTACCAACGTCATAGTAATCCTAACCATGGCTTCCACAGGCTACGTTTGCATTCTTGTACTTGCTATGATCTCCATCACGAACAATCAGATATGTCACGCTTCACGCAACTTATTGCAAGCAACTCCCGCAATGCCACAACCACAAATACCCACCATTCCAGCACTACCCCAGCCCCAGATGCCCACCAACCCGACTCTTCCTCAAATACCCACCATCCCGACACTCCCTAACATGCCTAAATTCTCCTTCCCTCCATTGCCTTCTATGCCTACCATCCCAAACCTTCCAGCAACTCTTCCCAATATTCCTTTCTTTGCTTCACCACCTTCCAAGAAGTAGACAATGGACAAATGTGTTGCTGCTAGATCAGAGGAAAAGTCAGTAGCTTTGGTTGATCTAGCCATCAGAAGGGTCCTTGATTCTACTGTTTTTACATTTACTTTTCCTAGTATCGTGTTTCCACATATGAGATCGGTTACATTTGCCAGGTTCCATGATTGGCTAGTGTTTATTTTGTACTCATTTTAAACTTTTGTAATCTTTGTCTGGTTTGATGTACGTTCTTGTGAATTTTAAGGTGAAAGATTCTATTATTTTAAATCTGAACCGTAGCCATGGTGTGCCACATTCGCTCTTTCATACTACATGCTAGGTTGAGCATTAGAATGATATCTGCGAGTGTCCAAGCCTCACATTTGAGAAGAAGTTCTTTGTCATAGGATTATTAGGATTCATTTAGCTCTTAATCACAATTTCTTAAAGCATTGAAAGAAAAACAATCCACAATTCCTTGATTATTCTGGATTGAAAAAATTCTCAAGTTTGTATGAATGAATCCCACAAAATATATTCTAATTTGTTGTGTTTTGTTTCCTTCTTTAAGGAACAAGGACAACACAACTATACCATGATCATGCTTCTCGTGGGGGGAAAAAGTGTTGTAGAGATATAAGTAAATCATATCGAAGTCAAACATTTATTAACTTGTCAATCCTTCGGGATTACAAGAGGTCTCAAATAGGGGATTTAGATTCAATGATAGTCACAAAATGTTGGTAAGTGGAGATGATTGCATGGACTTTTGGTTGCGAATTTTTTGAAGCATGGGCCATTTTATCTTAAGATGATGGAGCGAGTTTTATGTTAACTTTGTATATCAAGAATCAAGAATGCAGATCATGACCATTGGGTTTAGATTAATATGAAGTTCCAATGATCACATAAAGTGAGACCAAGCCCAACAACCAATGAGGAAAATTTGGATGTTATTGAAGTATAAACAAGATGAGACAACACTGAATTTGCGTGGCTCTCTTGAAAAGTTGTTATCTTTAAAATAAAATTCTCAATCTTCACAACAAAAACGATTTTGTTTGTTGGTAATATGATCAATTATAGCAGTCCTTAAGGGCAGAGGTTGTTCAACAACTCCAAACCTAGAAACCCTATTGTATTTTTATGCCAGGTGTCACTTTTGTTCTGTATTTGCTTATCTACCAGACTATCTTTCTCTCGTACTTGCCAACACTTAGGTTGATGAACTGCCTTTGATTCGACCTACCGAATAGAAGTCATAGAACACCAGGGGATTTTATATATTTACTATTTTTAGACTCAATGACTCATAATCCTCTCTAGATTCTCAATGTGTGTGTATATATATATATATATATTTCTAATTCTTGGTGCATTCTCCTTCACAGTTGATCAAGTTCATTTTTTTCTACCCGACTATCTCTCATATACTCTTGTGTCTTTGTTAGCTGATCACAACATCTTGCCATGGCTTCCTCCAGCTACATTTACATTCTCGTCTTTGCAGTATTCTCCTTTATGAACAATGAGGTGTGTTATGCTTCACGAAATTTGTTGCAGGCAAATCCAACAGTGCCGCAACCACAAATACCCACCATCCCAACACTCCCACAGCCACAGCTACCTACCAACCTGACACTCCCACAGCCACAAATACCCACCATCCCGACGGTGCCAATCATCCCCGCACTCCCTAACACGCCCAAAGTTTCCCTGCCTCCATTACCTTCTATGCCTACAATCCCAAACCTTCCAACAAATCTTCCCAAATTTCCTTATTTTGCTCCACCACCTTCCAAGAAATAGAGTAATGAAAACCCGTGGATGCTAGATCAGAGAAGAAAAGCCATGAATATCCCAATTGTCTACAGCTCAGGAGCCTTTGGTTGATCTAGGCGTTAGAAGGATCTTTGGTCCTATTGTTTTTACATTTATGTTTTTTTTAATATATGGGGTTACAACATATGGGATTGGTAGCTTGTTGCATGATCTGCGAGTTTTTTTTTGCTTGTTGTTATTACTTTCTTAACTCTTTGTATGATTTTACATACTTTGTTGTAATATATTTTTATATTTAAGGTGCAAGATTTTTTATTTTTAAATCTGAACTGTAGGCATAGTCTGAATGACATCCTTACTTTTGCTAGGTGAAGTGTTGAAAGAAATCTTTGAGTTTTTAAGCCTCATAATGAGAGGCGAAAGATGGTACCTAATCACCTTTCTCCATTGTTTAGGAGCCATTTTAACACTTTCAAGACAGTTTGTCGAATCAGGGTGCTCTACCTTTTGTTGAATCCCTTAAAGGTTGATTCAGGGATGCAGTTTTTCAGTGAGGGATACGGGACTGGGGACTGGGGTCTAAGAGGGGAAAGTTTATTCTATTTTTTGTGGGGAGATGAAATAGGAACCTTTATAACTCATCATCAACTTCTGTCAGATTTCACAAGTAAATCGAAGGCTGGCTCTATGCTGGATCTCACTAGAATTGCTCCATCTATTCTCCTGAGGAGGAGTTTGGTTTCAAAGTCTAGTTCAGACAGGAGTATGCCATGCAGCAATTTGGAACACAAACTCTGTTAAGTACAAAATATACCAGATAAAGTTTCAATGAACTAATGGGTCTTTTATTTACAGTGACTCAATTTATTCATCTTATCTAATTAGATGCATACATTTAAGGCCATGTAGGTTTTCTTGATTGTTAGTTGGTTCGATCTGAGATTTCTTTACAATTATGATGCTGGTACTATGTGACTTCTCCTTTTATCTGGTATGTGAAATGGAAACTGCCTTCTTAGGATCGTCCATCATATTGCATGGCTCTAGAGTCCAGTATAGTAGTTTAAGTTAATACTTTTCAAGTTGTCTCAAACCATCATTTTGTTTTTTTGCCATTGTTTGTTATAAGCAATTAACAATCTCATGTGATTTGGGTTTTAGATTTATGGACCTGAAAGTAGTGGAAAGACCACCTTGGCACTACATGCCATTGCAGAAGTGCAGGTTCATTTTGTTCTTTCCTTGTATGCTTTGAAAAAGCATTTATATAAATTCATTTATATAAATTAATCGTTTTGTGAATCATGCAGAAGCTAGGAGGCAATGCGATGCTTGTTGATGCAGAGCATGCGTTCGATCCATCTTATTCTAAAGCACTAGGAGTCGATGTAGAGAATTTGATTGTTTGCCAACCAGATAACGGAGAGATGGCACTAGAGAGTACTAATTGTTTCTTTCTTGTGTAATTTGTTCTGCATGATCAGTTCATGAATTGGGCAAAGCTATATGAGTTATTAAGGTTATCAAGATTGTGTGATCTATTAATAAAAAAACTTATTTTCTCCAGTTGCTGACCGCATGTGTAGATCTGGTGCTGTTGATCTCATTTGCATCGACTCAGTCTCAGCTCTTACTCCACGAGCTGAGATTGAAGTAAGTCATATGCCTAGCTGTTCTATCTTCTCACAAAGGGTACTTTCAGATCTTTCAAGTTTCTTACTTTTTAATACATTATACAGGGGGAGATTGGAATGCAGCAAATGGGTTTGCAAGCACGTCTTATGAGTCAAGCATTACGTAAGATGTCGGGCAATGCATCAAAAGCTGGATGCACTCTTATCTTTCTTAACCAAATAAGATACAAGGTGTCCACTTCTAGCATCTTTAATCTTTCATGAAACATTAAGGGTGCGTTTGGTAGCCAGACTGACAGGACAAAAACAACTGTTTGACATTTGGTAAGACAAAATTGGACATGACAAAACATATAAAATGATCAATCTATCCCTAATGAGTTGTTTATATCTTTTATATATTTTTGTTAATTTATTAAACAATAATAAAATAAATATTTTTATAACAAAATATATCATTAGAAAGTTTTCGTCAAGACGGCTAAAATGACGCCAAAATAAAAAAGTTTGTGTAGTTTCCGATTTTTATTTTATACCTTTTCTATATTATTTCTTATTATTAATATTTAATAAATAACACAAATTAATCAAAATATAAAAACTGAATAAAATAATATTTTGAGGACAATAAAGTGACAGTTTAAAGAGCATAAAATACAATAAATAATTTTAAAGAACGAATAAAATGTAAAGAGAGGCATTTTTTTGTTTTAGAAGAAAATTATGTTTTATTTTGAGGTTATATTGGTAAAATGTAGGTTTGTTCCACCTTGTTTCATGGGGTGGAGGTGGAACATGCATGTTCCACTTTGTTTCACTGTTCTTGTCTGTTCCACATAAAAGTTCTGTTAAACATGGAATGGTGATCCCTATCCTGTCTTGTCCAGTGTACCAAACACATGTTGAAGGCCAGTGTTTTGTATGCTATTGTTTTATTACTAGTCTTGAAACATCTTTTCGCAATGCATCATGAAATTGCAACTCTGTATCCAAATATCTTTCTTTGGTCTTCAAATCAGATTGGAGTATATTATGGGAATCCGGAAGTTACAAGCGGAGGTATTGCCTTGAAGTTTTTTGCATCTGTTCGACTTGAAATACGCCCTATTGGGAAGATAAAGTCTGTAAGCACAGGAAATTCCATTATCCCTCTCTTACCTTTTGAGCGGGAATCATTTTTATGAGGTGGGTTTTGGCTGTGTCACAGGTCAAAGGTGATGAGGATGTCGGGGTTAAGGTCCGAGTAAGAGTTCAAAAGAGTAAGGTGAGTAATGTTTATTGTTTGAAGGGAAGGGCTTTGAAGCACGCATTTTTAATATTTTTTGAACTTGTTAAGGTGGAATGAAAAGAACTCATTTCTTGACATCCTTTCTCTCGATTAGACAAGTTTCGTAGCTTGAGTAATCATTCATAATTTTATATCAAAGTTATGTGTAACTCTATTAACTATTGAATCTTGTATGTTAAATTCAAAGATATTACCCGGATCCATATTTTATGGCATTTAAGGGCAAATCAAGAGAACTTGATAGTAGAATGGATATGGGATTTGCTAATTATATTTGTTAGGAACCAGTCATTCATCAGACTGATGCATGTGCGCCTTCTGATATTTTGTAGGTTTCTAGACCATACAAGCAAGCAGAGTTTGAAATTATATTTGGAGAGGGAGCAAGCAAATTGGTTTGTTTTTCTACCATTTATGTTATTTCTCTCTCTCTCTCTCTCTCCATTTGCAAAGTCTCATTATATAATATATATATATATATATATATATATATATACAGGGATGCATATTGGACTGTGCTGAAATGATGGACATTGTATTAAAAAAGGGTTCTTGGTACAGCTATCGAGATCATAGGTTTGTGTTCTAATCTTGCTATTTGCATGAGTCGAGCCCCCCAGAATCACGTTTTAGGTACCATTTTATGCAACTTGGTATAATAGATATTCTTATGACGACAAAATATTCCACATATCAATTATTTATGTGTACTGTTGGGCATCTAGTCTTTTTATTCTTTATGATTTATGAGGAGAAGATAATTGTTTATGACAGTGAAATGATATTTATATCAGTAGTTAGGTACTTTCTGCTAAATTGCAAGAGCATCTTTAATAAAGAACTCTAGTGCTAACTTCAATCTTTTGGTTATCATGAAGGCTGGGGCAAGGAAGAGACAGGGCATTGCAGTACTTGAGAGAAAACCTTCCGCTTTGTGATGAAATTGAAAAGGTATGTTGATTGGTTATATTCCCGCACTTAATTTCATGAACTATAAAATTGCTTATCATACAATATGATACTTGTGGTTGATATATGAAATAGAAAAGATATGTTGATTGGTTATGGTTAGATGCCCGTACTTATTTCCATGAATCAGAAAATTGCTTGTCATACAATATGATACTCAAGGTAAAGCAATGCCTTATTTTTTGTCTGGTGTTCAAAAAAAAATAAAATATATATATATATATATATATATTTATATATATATATACGGGTTTAATCATTTGAGAACTTTAAAATTTATGAGATCCGTAAGAACTTCTACCTTAAGGTTTTCTTTTACATACATGACTGTTTGGTAGTGGCTTAATGATATTGAAAGTGCCGTATTCAGTAAGCTTCTAGGGGGAGCTTTTTGTAGAAAGCCAATTTTTTTCAAACCTGTCCATGCCAATTACAAAACCCGCTTCTTTCGGCTATGAAAAAATCCTCCCAAATAAACCTTCCCAATCTATGTAGACAACTTTATCCACACAGACATCTTTATCCATACACTATTTAATGGAAAATCAACCAAACAGCTCCTTAGTGTGCGTTGGTACGCAATGACGTGACATAACAAAAACTTGTTGTTTAACATTTGGTGCGACATCCAGACCAGGACAGGACAAGACTGAGTGGGGCCAAAATAGGTGGAACAAAAATCAGAGATGTGTGATAAGATTGATAAATTATTAAACTACCCATGTCATATATAAAGTCTAAAACCTTGCATAATTTTTTCACCTGCTTACCTCACTTTCCCTATCCAGTCCCGTCTGCATACCAAATGCACCCTTAGGGACTTAAGATTTCACAGTATATGAAATCTTTTGTTTGGTTTCCCCCCTTTATTTTATTCTCTCAAATTTAGTTCAAAAGACTGGTTCCTGGGTATATTATGATGCAATCAACATTCCGACACGGGCTTCTTTGCGTATGCAGATTGTGAGGTCAGCAATGATGGAGGGAACTGGGCAAGCAGTTACTTCCTACACTCGACACTCAACACCATTCCATGAAGACGATGATTCACTTGAAGAGCTGGAAGAGCAAACGTAAAAAAAGATTGGAAACTTGTAAGCCATTTTGTAACCCTTTTTCCAATCTCTTTATGTTCTAAACATGCCATATACCTTGTTGCATGCTCGATATTTTAAAATTTATTCGAGCGAATACGTTAACAAGGCGCGGGTACGAATTCTACGTTAAAGTTACATTCCACTTGCTAGTTTATGTTCTTTGAATGCCTCAGTAATGACACCCGAGGGTTTGTTTATTTGCAGCTTAATGAGCTTAATGGGACTCGCAGCTTATTCGCCTGTTATACATGACTGTTTGGTAATGGCTTAATGCTATAGAAAGTAGCTTATTCAGTAAGCTTCTAGGATGAATTTTATGCAGAAAGCCAAGTTTTTTCCGAACCTATCCCTCACTAAAAAACACGGTTCTTCCATCTTTGAAAAAACTCTCCCAAACAAAAACCTTTCCAATATATACAGACAAATTAATCCACATAGACAACTTTATCCATACAAGATTTAATTGAAAACCAACCAAACAACCTTGAATCTTAAATTAAATGTAAAATAACTTATAATATAATTAATTGACAAATTGTAAGCTTATCCATAAATGACAATAATAGGTGGCCTAATCTTACCCATTTTCTATTGGTTGGTTTTTGTGTGCTTGATTCTTTTAGCATTAATTTTGTATTTGACTTTTGATTTTAAAGTTTAAACTTTATTATATGATTGATTGACATTATCATTTATTAGGGTTTTACTTTTTCTTATAAGACCAGGTAAACCATTAAGTTGCTTTCTTCATTTATTAGAAGACTAGGTAAACGGAACTTGAGAGATTGAACATTTCCCCTACATCGTACTGACTTTTATATATTTAAATATTTAATTATTTGTTTATTACTCCCTTCGTCCCAAAATAAATGTTCACAATGACAATTTTTTTTAAATATATAATATTTATATATGACAAATACAACAAATAAACTCACACTCTCCTCACATTTGGTGAGGTTTGAAGCCCTAACCTCCTAGGAGACCAAAGGCTACGATACTGCCAAGGGCTCTTTGGTATAAAATGATGACATAGTTTTAGGGATGTGTAATTAGTACACCTTTGTAAAAAGTAAATGACACATTTACCTTTGCTAGTATTGAGAGACTTTTTCCATCTCGTAATTATGGATAAAATGGAAAAATAGAAACTTATTTTTAAAAGTGGGCATTTATTTTGGGACAAATTGAAATAGCCATGTGTCATTGATTTTGGGATGGGGCAAGTAGTTAATAGTTACTTCCTCTAAAGTAAGTCCATATTTCTATTGTAGTTTCTCCGAAAATAAGTGTCCACTTAAAAGAAAAAAATTTTGCTTTCCTCTTCTACCCTTGTTAAGAGATGGAGAAATTCATGACTCCCTTTTTATTAAGGGTAAAAGTGTCTTTTAGTTAATTAAAAAGTGTAATAATTACATATTTCTAAATCGGTATGCCATTTTTCATCATGGATATTTATTTTGAAACGGAGGGAGTAATATTTAATTAACTACAGCAACCTTAACTTTTGAGTTTTCCTTTTTTCTAATTCTAATTTTGATTGAGGTGATCAACAATAACCCTGTCCAAACTAATGTCTATAACACATTTTATTATTGTCTATATGTCTTTCGAGTTCGGATGTTCTATTACATGTTTGAAACATTTTTTAAATTGTGATGATTCCCTGAAACACGCCCTTATTTGAAATCGTGTCAGGTTTTTTAAGTATTGAACATTGTAACTTAGGACTTTGTTTTTACGTATTTCGAACTTACGGGTTTCCAATGTCGGTATAAAACCAATACCAGCATGTACCAACCGAAAAAATTGGTACACAAGACTTGGGATCATGAGCAGCCTGTTTTCGTGAGACCATAAAATAACACTGAACCTTCACAGCAAAAAAATATCCTTCACAAAAGAACACTGAAAGTTCAGTGTGTTTTTGTGCCTTCATAGCAGGTCTCACGAGAACCCAACTCTGGTACACAACATATTTGTACCAATTTTAAGTTGGTTGGTACACTTGTATAAGTTCACCCCTGCAAAACCACCCAATCGGATGTTATTTTAGGTTTTTAGCCCCCCCAAAGTTATCTAGCGACAAGAAAGAATAAGGAAAATGAAAGAACTAGAAGAAAACTATAATTTGGTTTCAGAAGCATAGCAAACAAGAACAAGATTGTGTGTATATTGTACATGTTTGCCTAAATAATTCCATAAAATGGACCAAAATATAACAAATAGTAACCACAAATGCTAAATGAACAATCTGTGGAGATTTTACTGTGCCAAAGCACTTGTGCTGTAAACCAGAAGAGCACCCCCTCCAAGAATTCCAGCCAAGGTAACAGCCCATATCAACAACCCTGTTGTGCCTGCATTCATATCAAGATTTCTTGAATACCCACAAACAGAAGATGGTATCCACATATGAATTGCAATATATGAATTGGTATTCATATGTGAAGTGCAAAAGATTTCTTACCACCAACATAGACATCACCACTTGGAGACCATTCTTCTTCATTGTAGATGGGACTGTAGGCATTAGATCATTTATTTTTGACTCTTTAGTTTCAATTTTGAATAGTTGACAGCATAATGGAAAAGAACACTTGGAAATTCATTATGAATAGTTATACCTGTATCCATCCACATTAGCACCATACTTGTCGACAAACTGGTAAACTCCCTTTCCCTGAGTAAAGTTATCCATCACAGTCTGAGTGCAAATAGTACTTGATTTTGGTTCTAAAGATAATTGCATTTGTTTTCACTTTTGAGTGTTCTTCATGATGAATTGATCCGACTTCATTGAATTATGTTTTGGGCATTCGTTTGATCGAGCTAATTGTTGCAAGTTTCATGAGAATAAGATTAATGAAGAACATTCATACCGTTGGCTTCCTTCCGTTGGCATCTTTACCATCTCTCAATTGCATTCCTCCTCCAATTCCTATCAACCAAACATATTATTTTACACCTGTGTGTATGTGTGTGTATGTATATATGCGATGTTTGACAGACCTAAACTAGTGTATTTTTTGATCTTATTGAAAAAGTCCCATTGTTTATAAGCTAGCTTTTGAAACCTTACTTGAAATAGTGTTTTAACAAGCTCCATGGGCCTTTATTTTCTAATTACACATCTTGTATTTTCCAATTAATTTTTCAACATGTCCTTCGAGGTCGTTTTACATTGTTATTTTGCTTGTTAGATGCTTTTTATCAAATATGTTTAGTTTATCAACAGGTAACAGTTAGCTTATTAACCAACAACTAGCTTTTAGCTAATAGCTAGCTTATCTGTTGGTTTGCCAACTTTTTGAAACGCTACTTGAAAGTAATGTTTCAATAAGCTCATGCGACTTTTTTCCATTTATGCCTGTATATTTTTTCAATCAATTATCAACATGTTCTTTTAAGGTCATTTTATATTGTTATCTAGCTTGTTAGTTGCGTTTATCAGTTTATCAGATAACTTATCAACTAATAGCTAGTATCAGCCAATAATTTGCCAAACATATCCATAAGATTATGTGTTTGTATATATGTGTATATACATGATATATATATATATATGGAGAGAGAGAGAGAGTAACCAAAAGGCTTGTCTGTTTTGATCTTCTTGATACCACTGGCTTGAATCTTGAAGGAGGTTTTTGCAAGTGAAGGCAGGCCTTTGGCTGCTGCTGGCTTCTGAATGGTGAATGCAGAAGGCTTTAGGCTTAATGAGGACATCACTGTGGTTGCCATTTCTTGAATTCTTGAATTCTTCTGATTGAAGATGATGATGATGATGATGGCAGTCCCCTCCGAATTTAATCAAGCAAAACCAATAATCATGAAACTGGTGATTACCATGTTGACACGTGTCACACTTTGTATGGTCTGCTTGTGGATGTGATTTTTTGCAGCATTATCATCTTTCCCCCCACTATTTTTTGACAAATATTTAGAAAATTAACACCATAGTTGTGTTTTGGTCCCTACTAGAGTGACACAAGTTGAGTGAATGCGAGTAGCCGATCCACAATTTTTATCGAGCGGATGCAACTTTAAGTTGGATCTTAATGTGTTTTTAGTCGATTTTTATTATTTCGTGAGATTTTAGAAGTTTTTTGCTTGATGTTGGAGGGTTTTTTAAGTTCTTTAGTTGATTTCAATTGATTTTTCGGTTTTTTTTGCTACTTTTTCGGTATTTTTGGTTGATGTTTCTTATATACTCTAATATTCTAGAGCACTACTTATAGCTTAGCGAGTGTGTCTTTCATACCTCAAAAACGATTTACTTAGGGGCCGTTTACCAAACACTTACCCGGTAAGCGCTTATCGGTAAACTTAACACCATCATTTACTTATCGGATAAGATTTTAGTCCACCAAAATGATATCGTATGCAACAATTTACCCGATAAGCGCTTACCATGGTAAGAGTCGTCGCCTTCACTTACCGGGTAAGACTCTTGGTCATTGTCTCGCTCTTACCAGATAAGATTTTTTATCCTTACCATATTCATTCGGTATGGTAAAATGACTTGGTGTTCATTTACTTGAGTAACCGTTTAGTAAACGGTCCCTTACAAAGATTTGTTAAACGGGTGTATGGGACCCTGGTCTGGCATGAATAGGTCACCCCAAGTCATAATCTAGTGGCTCATTTAGCATTACAAACAATTGGGTTTTGTTCAGTTTTGAAAGGAAATTCATATAAATACTGTAAATATTATGGTAACCGTGAGAACTAGTTATTTATGATGACTAGACATAAATGATCATGATTATTTATTCAAGATATTGATCATAACTATTTAAGGTAATATTAAAAATGGGTTGAGATCAGAAGAAAATCCTAAAAAAGAAAAGAGCCGAAAAATTCAGTCAAACCGTTAGATTGAGATGATCCAATGGATGTGATTTAAAAGATAGTTATGACCATCTTTTAAAAAAATATTTATCACACCATTTTTAAATTGAAAAGTTTGTTTAATCGTATATAAAAACAAAATACAATTATAAAAAACCATTAAATTACTTTTTATTAATTAAATATTACAAAACCAATATTTAAACATATTTTAAAATATTATTAAAACAATTTTTATGAAATCTTGTGAAATATCAATAAGCGATGGGATTTTTAAATACAGTTTGTAGGGTTTTATTGAAAATTTTGGATCCGTATTCTAAACTTTCTTTTAAATCAAACACGAAATTAAAATGGTATAACCATAACCTAGGTGCATGATTGGTTTGAGTTTGGGTTCCAAAGGTTAAAACTGTCTGAAGGCCTTAGGTTCGAACCCAATGAGAAATAAAAGTTCCCTTATGGCTATTGAGGTTCAAAGGTGACTCTGGGCTACTAGTAAGACGGATGGTCAGCCTATGATTAATCGGCTCGCATAGCGGGTTGGATATCCAGGTTAATCAAAAATAAATAAATTAAAATGGTATCCAAATTCCATCAAATCTTTTTTTTAAGTATATATTATTTATATACTGAAAATATAATAAATAAACTCATACACCCTCTTTACCTTTGGTGATGTTTGAACCATTGACCTCCTAGAAAGCGAATGACTCACATATCACTAAATCAAAGATTCTTTCATAATTTCATCAAATCTTGTAAACCAAACAGATTCAAGTAAAACATTTTGTTTAATTGGAATAATTTATTGATGATTTTTAATTTAATATTTAATCAAATTAAAATTAAAAAAAAAAACAAGTTGGTTGTGATGCTTTCATAATCCAACCATTTTAAAAATCATAACACTTGGCCTTTTTTATTTGTTATTTGTTATCACATGGTGAATTAATTTTATTAAATAATAATAAATGAGTAAATTATAAAAATCACCCTTATGGTATTGCTTAATTTGCAGGTTTAGTCTAAAACTTTATTTATTGCATTTTTTTGGTTGAAATTTGAGTTTTAATACAGATTTGGTCCCTAAATCGTTAAAACTAAGGATCTGTTTGGTTTGGAAGACTGTTTTTGAGGGATTTGGATTTCATGGAGGGGTTTGGTTTGGAATAGATTTAAAATCATTGGTGTGTTTGGTTTGTAGGATTTGGAATGGAATTGGATTCCATTTATTTATAAATACTTTATAAAAATAATTAAGTTAACCAGAAGGGTGGTGCCTGATTGGTTTGAGCTTGGCTCTAAAGGTTAAAAGTGCCAGAAGGTCCCAATGTCAAATCCAATGAGGAATAAAAATACTCTTGTGGCCACGGAGGTTCAAATGCGGTGACTCCGGGCTATCTGCAAAGCAGGTGGATGTGCCCTGGGATTAGTCGACTTGCATAGCGGGTTGGATATCTAGGTTAATAAAAAAAATAAGTTGCATTTTTATTTTAAGCGATTATTAGAAAACAAATGTTTTTAACATTTTTAGAACCTTATTATATACAATTTTACGAAATCCTGTAAAATCCCAAGCACTCACTAAGGATTTCAAAATCCTATGTTTGTAGGGTTTCAATTATATTCTAGGATTTCAATTAAATCATAGGATTTCAAATCCGGACAATCCAACAAGAAATGGATTTGAAATCCAAATCTCTCAAGATCCTTTCTTTTTCTGCAAACCAAACGGGACCTAACAAGTTTCTATTAATTAGTCACATGGCATATAACCTTTTTTTCATCATCAATCATTTGATACAACTTATTCATATTTCTTACATATATCACAGTCAGTTAATTTTCTCAATTTACATATATATGTTCACAGTTACTAAACATATATACGAATGAGTTATATAGATATGTGAATAGATTGAAAATATGTGTATATGAAGAACGTACGTGATAGTGTAATTGTTTAATGTATGTACTAATAGAAATTCAACAATCATATTAAATCTAATAAATAAAAGAATATTGGGTTCATTGGGTTGAGTTGAGTTCAAATAATAGTAACCTAATATCAACACAGTACATACGGTTTGAAAATTTTACAACTCGATTAGATATCGGATTGCTTCAGGTTGAGTTATTTCGCGTCGGATTGGGTTGGGTTGATCGGGTTTTTGAGCACCACTACTTCCAAAGCTCATGCGGAATGTAAGGGGTTGTTTACCTAAATGTTTACCCGGTAAGTGCTTACCATTAGAAGTCAACACCGTAATTTATTTTTTGGGTAAGATTGTAGTATATCAAAATGGTATCATATGCAACAATATATCTGGTAAGCGCTTACCCGGGTAAGAGTTGTCAGCGTCATTTACCGGGTAAGACTCTCTATTCTTATCATTGCTCTTACCAGGTAAGATTCTTGGGTCTTGTCATGTTTGTCCGGTGAGGAAAATTGTCCGGTAAGCACCAATCGGGTAAGCGTTTAATAAACAGCCCATAAGTGATAGCCAGTAAACACTTATTTGATCAGTATTTGGTAAACAATCTCTTTATTCTGCTCTTTTCCATATTTTCTTTTTAATTTTCACTTGAAACCTTTCATAAAAAAAACCATAATTAATTTCAATAATAATAAAGAGAATTTTTTTTATCCGATGGTAATATAAAGAAAGTAAACACTTATTTTAAAAATAGTAAATTACGTTTTTTGTCCTTATAGTTTGTTAAAAATTACAATTTTGTCTCTATGGTTTAAAATTTTCTATTTTCATCCCTATGATGTGTAAATCATTGCAGTTTTCATCCCTGTACTAATTCATATCTGTAAAATGCAAGGGACCAAAATAGTAAAAAATTGTAAATCACAAGGAGCGAAACGAAACAACAATAAGTTGTAAATCAAAAGGTGAACCATAGAGACGAAAAACATAATTTCTAAACAATAGGGACTAAAATCGTAATTTACTCTTTTTAAAGTTATTTAGGCTATGTTTGAAAAACCGGCCGATAAGTTAGCTGATAAGCTAATTGATGAATAAATCATATTTGATAAAACTAGCTGATAAGATTGTAAAATAATCAAAAAAGTCATCTTGAAAAATTAATCAATAAGCTACCAAAATGCTACTACAAGTAGTGTTTCAATAAGCTAGCTTATATACATCCAAACATATACGTAGAAAATAAGTTAGCTTATTTTTGTCAAACAATATCTCATTTATTTTTTAAACAAATTAAAACTCAGCTAGTGAGTGCCCATTTTTTTCTTTTCAATAATATGAATACGTTTTTTTATCCGCTTTTTAAAATGAATATCTCGTTTCTATTTTTCTTTGCGTTATTTGTTTTTCTTTGTTTGAATGGGGGTAAATGTGTGTTTGAATTTAGACTTTTGAAGAGTAGTTGTGTGTGTTTTTCCCCCACAAATAGTGGGTTTTTCGAAGACCATTTGTGGGTGAACTTGGATTTTTCGATATCGGTTTGTAAATTTAGCTGTTTATCAAACTTTTATCTGGTGTCATCTTATCAGGCGAGTATGAAAATGATCGAAAATCTTACCTGATAAAAAAAATTGCAAACACTGATAAGTTTATCCCTTAGATGCGGGAAAAGAATTTTATACGAGTAAAATACGTTTAACAACTGTTTTATTTTGATAGCCGGGAATGTTATCTGATAAGGTACATGAGAATGAAGATTCTTGCTGATAAGTGTTTGGTAAACGACTCATATGTCTATAAATGGAGGTTGTAGAATGCAAAATAACCAAAAACGCCCCTAAAAAGGTCACATCCATAACACAAGTCTTATGGAAATCTAAATATAAATCACAGACCAAATAGATGTACAAAAAACAACGCAACAAATGAAAAGTTTGGACTAAACTTGTAGGTCGAACAGTACCATATAACAGGGACGGACCCGGATTTTTTTTTCAAACAGTGACACCATTTGACTAACAAATGACACTAACAGGATTCGAACTTGGTTCTGGGGTGAAATAAAAGTCTTGCAAACCAACTCTACCAAATAAAACTTGTTCTCATTGTAGTTCCAAAATACATAAGGTGGTACACAACAAATTAATACAACTGCACCTTTCACGAACCTAAAAATTCTTACCCTTCGACAAAGGAAATGCTCTGTTGTAGGTCCGTCACTGCCATATAAACAAGTTTTTCTATATAATGATACGTAAAAAGTATGTCATCAACTGTTATACAGGCTCCAAGAATATCAGTTACAAATATCTTAATTATTTTTATCAGATATTATCGTTGTTTTTCAACGTAATTCTTCTACGAACCATGAATTTTGATATATTTATTGTAATCAAGTTGCATATTATATGTAAAAAGGAATTCATGTTCACATCAACTTGGGTATTAAAAGAATGGAAGGTCAAAAGTACAAAAGGTCATGTGTGTTGAGGGCATTGTTTAATTAAGGGAGATGGAGACAAATTATGAGTCTAAATTACATCATTAATATTCCTGTCTTTATTATTATTTTATATAACTGCTTTTTTAGAAAAAATATCGGTTCGATTCTGAAATCAGATCTTTTACTGTTTTGGAGCAGTTTCAACATAATCTTTAAAATGGAGATTCTGAATAGTTTTTGATACAACAGATGTTTCAAAAGCTTGTTCGAAATGAAGAAAGTAGAAGAGATAAGGTGAAATTCTCCAAATTTGAAGAGTTCTGTAAAAATGATTGATTGTAAAAGAGACAAATGTTTTTTGTATTTTTTTTATGGGAAATTGTATGAAAAAAGTAACGTACTTTAACTTGATTTTTATTTTGGGTAATGTACTTTCAGAACTTCTATATTGGTACATAAGATATAAAGTTTTAAACATTTAAGTACCCGGGTAATCGGTTGAAGAGTTTTAGATTGAAAAAAATTCACGCCATTTAGAACTTTGATTTTAATAATATAATTTATATTGTTATCTCCAAAATCAAGAAACTGTACAAGTTGAATGCATGTTTTAGAGAAATCTGTTGGATTTGATTTATAAATCAAAAATCAATGTAATTTCGTTTATATCAACCGTCATCCACTTTTGTACTGATATTTTTTTCCCCTGAAAGACACAATTTATTAAAAAAAACCCAAAAAAAAAATATACAGAAAAATGGGGGAAAAAACTTCCACAAAACCAACCCGAATCAAATTAGCCCGAAACAAAACAAAACCGAACAGATCCGAATTAGTAAAATCAAAAACCGAACAAACGACTAAAAGGATCTTTGGTCTAACAGTATGTAAATCTTTGACGTTCTTGGAAGTCAATGGTTCAAACCTCACCAAAAATAAAAAAAATATATGAGTTTATCTGTTCTATTATTATATATAAATATCATATACTTAAAAAAATAACGAATAAACTCTGGTTTTTATCGTTAAAATTTGAAATAATTTATGTTCATGGAAAGACGTCATAGATTGGTAAAAAGGATTGTGTTCACAACGTGGGATGTTGACCAGACAAACATTTTGACTTTTTGACATTTTGACTTTTTGACTACAGTTGCAATGGTGGGCCCCATTTCATCTACACGTGTGTCCGCGTCCCGTTGCCAACGCCGCAAATTTCAACCAAACTGAAGGGACATTTAATGTTATACCTCCAACGAAAATCGTTTTATCTTTTATTTTCCTTATTTTAAGAGGACCGCTACCGTTTTTATTTTTATATATTTTTAATTATTTTTAGTTTGTATGTATTTCGATTAATTTTAACAGTTTTAAAAAAAATTAAAAAATCCTCAGTAATTTTGCAAGATTCGGACTGATGACCTCTGGAAAAAGTTCTTAAAGACCTAAGTTTTATTGTTAGTTAAGCTATTAGAAGTTGTTTGTTTACCTTTTAATCGTTTCATTAAAAGACAATATTTGAATCGTTAAAAGATGAATCTTGTTTGGTAAAAAAACAGTTTGCCTCTTAATTCTTTGAAAACCTTCTGAATGATTTTGTATATTGGGCATCCCTTAACCATCCAACGCCCTACTTTCATTGTAAACAATTACCAAAGAGTTATATTTCATTTTGCACTATATTATAACAGTTTCTTAGTCATTCTGACCACTTAATCATTTTGCACCAAATCATTCAGCAACTATCAAATACCTCCTAATAGGCTGTTTGTTTACCTCTTAATATTTCAATTAAGAGACTATCTATGAATCTCTAAGAGGTGAATCTTGTTTGACAAAAAAAAAAGTTTGTATCTTAAAGGATCTAAAACCATCTGAATGATTTTTTTTTCTTGGGTCTCTCTTAACAATTCAGAGCCATAATTTCATTGTAAACAATTACCGAACAGTTATATTTCATTTTGCATTCTATCATGAGAGTCTCTTAATCATTATGACCATTTAATCATTCTGCACCAAATCATTCAGCAATTACCAAATAGCCCTTAAGCTGATTGTTTACCTCTTAATAGTTTAATTAAGAGGCAACCTCTAAATCGTTAAGAGGTGAATCTTGTTTGACAAAAAAAGTCTGTCTCTTAATGGTTCTAAAACCCTTTGAATGATTTTTTTATCTTGGGCCCACCTTAACCATTCAGCGCTCTAATTTCGTTGTAAACAATTACCAAACCGGTTATCATGCTGATGTGACGAGTGATGTGATATCCAACTCAATATTATTTGCTGACGTGGTTAGTGACATGGATTTTTTAAATTTTCTTTTATTTAAATTTTATCTTCAACCAATTACCAGGGTACTTAAATGTTTAAAACTTTAAATCTTAGGTACCAAAATGGAAGTTTTGAAAGTATGTTACCCAAAATAAGAATCAAGTTAAAGTACATTATTTTTTCATGCAATTTATCTTTTCTTATATTTGATTGATAACTCAATACAAATTTAACTTTAAAACATAAATAGTCGTCATTGTTTATAGTCATCTTACGAACAACACAAACAAACTGTTTTTCCGTCAAAGTCAATGTTTATAGTCAGCACCCTTAACATGACAAAAATTGAACCACAATCACAAAACAAAAATAAGAAATTCTCTTAAAAACCCAGTTCATAAATGACTAAAATCAAATACGTTGTTAACGAGAAAAAAACTGAACTATACGTTCCAAATCGAAAGCTACCTTTTCGCAACACTCTTCCTTTCAAATAATTCGTGATGTTACCGTCGAAGAAACCCGAAAACAGTTGCACGTAAGTAAACGTGACTGACGTCAGTGATGCCAATAATGTTGCAACATGTTCATGTTTGTATTCAAACACGGTGGCAAGAACACAAGATGATGGTGCTAGTGACATAGAAACGAAACCCAACAATCATAATAAACAACAGTAGTGGAGTCGGTGACATAAGGCCGATTATACTCAAAATACATCATTTTATGTCGTGTTTGGTACGCCAATGGAACATGACAGAACGAGAGTAAGGTATGTAAGCGCCTGTTTGTTAGCAGGTTGATGAGTTTAATAAGACTCACAGCTTATTCAATTAGCTATAAACTATTGTTTGGTAGTTAATCACTGATATAAAATGTAGTTTATTCAGTAAGATTATAAATGAGCTTTATGCAGAAAGCCAATTTTTTTCTTCCCAAACTTATCCTTCCAAATTACAAGACATGCTCATTTCATCTATGAGAAAACCATTTCAAACAAAAAAAAATTCCAATTTATACAAACAGATTAATGCACACAAACAACTTTATCCATACAAAACTTAATGAAAAACCAACCAAACAGTTTCTTAATAAAAGATACAGATTTGTTCAAAGTTTTAATTTAACACAGGTAATTTATTAATTCATCATTATTGACTCACCTTATATTTTTTTTATCACACTCAGGGGCCGTTTACCAAATGCTTACTCGGGTAAGTGAACATCAAGTCATTTTACCTTACCGGATGAATATGGTAAGAATAAAAAAATTTACTGGTAAGAGCGAGACAATGACAAAGAGTCTTACTTGGTAAGCGAGGGCGACGACTCTTACCACAACAAACGCTTACCAGGTAAATTGTTGCATACGATACCGTTTTGATGGACTAAAATCTTATCTGATAAGTAAATGATGATGTTAAATTAATCGATAAACGCTTACCGGGTAAGTGTTTGATAAACGGCCCCTCAGTCAAAAAAATTGCACAAAATCAAACCTATATCCAAAGACCAATTTATAATAAATGAAAGTAAAGGGACGAAAACCAAAAATACCAACAAACAACAAGGACTAAAGATGTAATTTACCAATTCACAATTATTCATTCACAACCATAACGAACCAAACACCAGACGACATGATTGAGCTCAAGTCTTGAAATCAACCCACACGTTGACTTTCAAAACACCCAAATGGTAAGCTTGATGATGACCTTACCCTAAATTTGTGTTCATACTCTCCCTCCGTAGTCCATACGAGATTAGAGTAACTGCTCGTTCCAGGAAGCAAGATTCAGGGTCCAATCGCATTACTTCGCTGACTTTATACACTTTGATTAATATACTACCAAAGGGAGCAAGCAATCTCACTCCCATTTTCCCCAGATTACCTCTTCAAAATCATCACATCCACCGCCATCTTTTCGTAATCGAAATACCCATTAATCCCTGATTCAATCTTCGATCGATAGATTTTGAGGTAATTCCCAATTCGGGTTGTTCTTAATTTTTGTTGATTTTGCCGTTTTGATCTTCGTTTTTGGTTTGAATTCTTATGAGTTTTCGTGTTCTGGAATTCAATTTGAAAACGGTTTGTGGGTTTCTCTGCTATCATTTCAATTTTGTGGTTATTTGAAGATTGAGTATCGGTTAGGGCTTGTATGGGTGTTTTTTTTAGTATAATCAGCTCCAATTTGAATCTATGAAGAACAGCTCGAATTTGAATTGTTCTAAGTTTTCGTTTTCTGGAATCCAACTTCAAACGGTTTGTGGGTTTATCTGCTAACGTTTCAATATTGGGGTTCTGTGAAAATTGGGTTTCGATTAGGGCTTGTTGGGTGTTTCTTAAGTATAATCAACTCCAATTTTGAATCTATGAAGAACAGTATTTCTATCTCGTTCGATTTGGGTATAATCGAATTGATCAACACTTTAATCTTATGGTTATATGTTTATAGAATGTTGGGTTCTTCCAATTTCCATCAAATAAGATGATTTATTTGAAATGATGAACATTTCTAATGATTCTATGACAGATTTCAATCCTGAAAGCATCAAACAAACCATTCTTGAATCAAGAAATTGGTGATTTGGGGTGTCTCAGAAGGGGGTTATGGGTTGCTTCTCCTTCCTCGCTCGTCGGCCAGCCAAATCACCAATTAAACAATTTCCCGAATTCGATGAAGGTAAAGAAAACAGTAATCTGTTTATGAGTTCTTTAGCTTGTGAATGTGCATTAGAACTAATTCATAATCGTTGTTTAATATCTTTGATCATAAACAGAGTTATCAGACGTTCAGAATCTTAAACTTTACTCCTACAAAGAACTAAGAATTGCCACAGATGATTTCAGTCCAGCCAACAAGATTGGAGAGGGTGGATTTGGTCCAGTTTTTAGGGTAAGCATATATACATACATACATACATACATACATACATACATACATACATACATACATATATATCTATACTTCTATACTATCTTATTAAGCAAATTTAACAAAAGTCTTAAAGTCTTAAAATACTAAATGACCAAAATACCCATTATACTCACTTTTTCACTTTTTCACCCTCTCCTCTCCTCACATACACTCACCCTCTCACAACCGATTTGTTTTAAAATTAAAATTTTAAATTTACATTTTATACCCCTATAATTAATTAATTAATTTACTTTACGTCCTTTACTTTTAAATGTTTCATTTTAAACCTTTATCAAATTAACATACATGATCGTATATAAATTAAAACATGTTTAAAAAATATATTTTTATTTTAACAAGTTACACCATTATAATCGTTTCGTTAATACCTTCGAAATGAGTCCAATATTGAATAGTTTTTGACTTAATTATATTATTATATATTATATATATTGTGAAAAAATATTTTTAATATTTACGATTTATACTTTTATAGTTATTTATTTATAT